TTCCTATTTCTTTATCACAACAGGTGTTTTAAAATATTTATTCTTCAGTTCTCTATCTTTCTTGATATTATCAAGTCTACATATTTCTCGTCTAAAGTAGAGTTCTTTTTCTCTTATGGCAGACCATTCACATAGCATAGAAGTATTATATTCTTTAGGAATCTTACTTAATTTTTTCTCATAATATTGAATCTGACTATCTAAAGATTCTATTATAAGTAAAGTATTTGACTGAGGTTGTACTGACAAATTGTTTAAACTTGGCGGTATAAGTAAATCCCTTATTCAAATTTTTATAACCAGGCTCTGATACCACTGTGGACGGGATACCGCTACAAATTATTACAAACCGCTGCAACGAACTCGAACTCAAAATTTAATTTTAAAATTCTCGAGTTACTACTCACAGCACTATTCAAATTCGGCGTTCACTATTTAAATTCACGGCTACTATTCAAATTCGGGATATGAACAGTGCACGAGAGCGGCTCAACCACTTTACTATTCAAGGCACGAGGCCTATGCAAGTATGGTGTGACGTCGCTTTCACGCGCGAATATTTTATGCACACCGGATGAGTGAGCGAGTGATTAGCGAATATAAATATTGATATGTCGCTTTCACGATTAGTTAAGCTAATGCTTAGTGAATATGCGTATGCAGATTATTTCTAAGGATCTTTTGCAGACTGGCGAGACCAACAGTTCAGTCGGTCGTGCAACTATACTTGTGACAGTCATACTCGGTACTCACCGTATGCATCACCGGCTCGCTTCAGAACCAGGCTAGCCCGGTCTACTCCCTCGCTATCCGCAGCCACGCGCACACAGGACTCAGGCCCTATCGTCTCCCCAGGCAGTTCCATCCGAAGGGAACACTTCTCTGCGTACACAGGGTTCTCTACAAACGCCGCTACCAGGGCTAACACGAGAACAACACACGCAGAAGCTTCTCCTCTAGATCCCTAGCATAGAGACGTCGCCCCATATGAACGAGCTTGAAGGAAGACAGGGATTAAAACAGGAAAGCTTAATTCATTTCCACAGAGCAAGCTTACATACGTCTTACCCTTTCGAGAAACCCTAAGCACTAAGCACAAACCTTAGGTATCACCTTATAAACGCAGGAAGATCACGGGGATCTCCTTTATTCTCTAATTTATAGAGGTGGAGTGATACAACGGTGCTGGGTGATTACTACTAATGATGGATGATCCTCAGAGTGCTTCTGAGATCATGTCTTCATGTGTATGTGTGTGGGTGGAGAGTTGGTGGAGTGGGTGGTGGATGAGAGTGCGTGTCTGAGGCTTCGGTGGGATGCTTCTTCCGATTGAGCTTTCGATGATGAATGAATGCGTCCGACGTCCCGCTTTATAGCACAAAGGGAGTGTCCTTTATGCTTATCTTCTGAAGGAGCCTTCGAGGCTAAGTCTTCAATTATCCCTTTCTACTGTTGCCTGGACAGCTGGATGGAGATAATTGTCCTGGCTACAGTAGAGTGACTGTATATTACTTTTGCACTGTCCTCCATCGCGCACGGTCTTATCTTTCTGGATATTCTTTGATATGGTCTTCCACGCCCGAATATATATATATATATATATATATATTAAACATACATACCTCATCGACGCACCCAGCAGCACCAACTTATATCACCAAGAATGTGCCTCAAGTTTGCGTGCTTTGGCTGCTGCCCCCAAGACGACGACGACGACTACAGCCTGGTGGCCAACACTGTGCCGCGGGGCCGGCAGCCGCCGTGGCCGCAGCACCACCCAGGCCGCAACGAGGGATGGCTACGGCTCCACCGCTGGCCGCGTCGTACGCGCCGCAACACACGGCGTACACGTATTCGGTACCACCCGACGGAACATTTGAAGCGCCCGGAAAAAGGCCGCGCACAGGCACAGCACGCTACACTGAGGCGGCCGGAAGGGATTATGAACAATGGACATGCACGATGCATGCTTGCATTTCACCGGTTACTACTTCACCTATTGTTTTGTGACACGGGTTTATGTAAACAAACATTGAAATGCATTGTAATGTATTTAGGAAAATTCGTTGATATACACCCAGCTTGTGCTCTAAATAAACGGGATATATATCGGCTTGGTTTGGGGGGGCTTCAAGCAATAGTTGTTCCAACTTCAGCAATGGCCCTTAAATTTGAGCCCCTACTTCCATGGGACCCACTTGTCTAGACCTTGATGGAGCAGGTGTGTTGGCTGGGAGGTGAGGGAGAGCCAGAGCTCAAATGGACGGCGGACAGCCAAGCAAGCTCCCTTTTCTTCGTATTCTCTTCGTCTCCCGCATCACCATGCTGGACCAAGCTCTACCACAAGGCGGTCTCGTCTCGCTCATCTCTTACTCCCACGCCACGTGAGCAGCGAATGACTTTGTGGCGGGAGGTGAGCTCTCGATGTAAGCCACACTCTAGGAGGGCTTGCTTGAGGGTCTTCAACCGGCTGGAAAGGGAGGCATGGCTGAGCAAAGGCGGACGGGTGGTGAGGACGAGCAGGTCGGGGAGGTCGCAAGGGGATGCATGAGGTCGCACTTTGGGTGTTCTGTGGAGGAGGGGGCTCGAGGTTAGGGTAGAGCTCCAAGAAGGCCCGCTCGAGGTCACCATTAGGGTGATTGGTGGTAGATGGGAGCTTGCGAGTTTAGGTAGTCGGTGAGGAGAGGAGCTTGTGGGTTTAGATAATCAGTAAGGAGAGGAGCTCAAGGAAGTTTGTACCTCAGCCAAACTTGGGGAAGATGGCCAACATGAAGGGAAAATTTGGTGCGACAAAGAGGAGGAAGAGGAGTGATTCTAGCCAGCGGGGAGACCAGATCCTATGATCGATGGCCAAAGGGAGGGTGGTGGTGGTGCTAGTGGCGCAAGAGAGCAAGTCAAGCATGGGTGAGAGACAGAGGGAGAACAAAAGAAAAAGGAAAGTTGAGGCTTTGGGCTCAAGCCCCAGGAATGATGGTCGTGTATGTGGGGGTGGTGATTTGAGGGCCTCTCTACTTTGGGAGTTTGAGCAGAGACCTTGTTGGAATTATGTTTTTCCTCTAGAACCTTAAATTTGGGTGTATGAGACTCGGCAGGGGCACTTCTAGAATTACTCTAAAGTCTGTGAACACCTTTATATTAAAATAGAAGTTCACACTTGACAATCCGTTTCCGATTGTAAACCCCACTAAATAAGTGCTAACTAACAAAGAAAAGGTGAACGACTTCAATTTCTTTTAGCAAATGTGGAGCTATCCAACATGTCTAGATAATTTGAATATGCAAAATGTTTTATGAAAACATATATTATAGCCTATATACAATTTCTCTTGCACCTCTATAAATATTCATGCTAGCGCTGCAATTAATTCAAGCAACCCAGCAGGAGAAAATGAGTAGTCTCCTGAAGAATGTCATTTTTTTTGCTTTCTGAGGAGCCAATAAATCTTAAATTTTACTAATTATATAAAAAATATACTAATACTTATGATACATAATAAATATTATTGAATAAACTATAGAAAGGGAAGCAATATATAGGTGGAGACACATTTTTATTAAATCTAGTTAAATATAAGAATGTTTGATTTATTAGTTACTTGTAGTAGTATAAATTTAGAATGACATTTTCTTTTGGACGGAGGCAGTATACTTCTTTAGAAAAGCTGCATACAAGCGGATAGATGACTAAGACCAGTGTACAATATATATTTTAAAAATAAAAGGCCCCCACCAACATTATTTGTCCGCTTTTCAATAGAAAATTGTTTATAGTCCTAAAGTTATAATCACTAGCACCATAACGCCATCTAATCAACTTGATGGCTCAAGCTGTTTAAATTCGGTTAGTAGCTAATAATTGACATACTCATCAATCACAATGATTCTAGATGAAAAATATGTTTTATAACTTTTTAAAAAAAGAAAATTACAGATGTTTCATACTGAATTTGGACAAGCTTGGAAAACTGCTACATCATACGCATCCGATACTCAAACAAAAGATCTTTTTCCCCGAATTACTCAAACAAAAGAAATTGTTGTGTGCATGATGCCCTCCGTTCTAAATTATAAGTCGCTTTGACTTTTTTAGTTCATCTATTTTGCTATGTATATAGACATGATATTATATGTAGATGCATAATAAAATAGATGTATCAAAAAAGTCAAAGCAACTTATAATTTGAAACGGATAGAGTATATATAATTAAAATGACTAATATAACACGCAGGAGGGTAGGAGAGGGGTGGACGAATATTTCATGAAATCTTTGCCTTCGCTGCTGACCGAGAAAAAAAATGCACATCAAAATCATATTCCCGGTCCGGGGCCTAAGTGTAACTGTTGGCCTAGTAAGATAAGTTATTACACAACCGAAGGAGAGAGAAAAAAAAAACAAAAAAGCAACTAAGTTTTGAGCATCTCTTAGAGTATCATATTTTTTTCTTCTAAAAACATGTAATTTTGTAACTCCTAATAAGGTATTAGGAAAAAAAAAGAAGTCAATCTCCAAGAGTTTCTAATAATCCACTTCTAAAATATATAGAAGGCAATTTCACATCAGGAATTCTATATTATTTCTAAATTAGCATAACCAGTTTTATATATTCTTTCTCTCTCGTACATTTGCATCAGAAACATTTTTCTACTTTCTATTCTTTCCCACACCCTTTAGAAGACTGCACACGGAAGAGCGTTGTGCGCATTTTTACGCAGGGCCTATTTACCAATTGCCAATAGATGGGGAAGAGATATGGGTACTCTTAAAGATGAGTTTTTCTCTTTTAAAAAAAATAGATGGAGAAGAGATATGTGATACTCTCGGAGATGCTCAGGTATTTAACTTTGAATTTAACTTGGATACAGTGAAACATCCATATATACACTCATAATTTAAACAGAAACGTAGTAGGAAATAGCATTACAAGGACAAAACTTACTCGAAATAGGACGAACACAACAGCTTAAGACGACGACAGCCAAAATATATTAGTATCATACACTAAAAATCCCCACTTCCAGTCCTCATGCCCTTGCCGCTCCTCCTGGCTCCTCTCCTCTCCACGCCGCCGGTGGCCCCGGGCGTGGAGTTACAGTTGCCGTCGTCGAACATAAGCGGCGCCTCCGAGTCCCTCTGCTCGTCGTCGAGGAGGTCGTCGTGCGTGCGCACGTTGACGCACGAGCACCGCTCCAGGGACGCGAAGAACACCGCGGCGATGCCGCCGCCGACCCAGCCGGCCACGCGGTCCAGCGGCGGCCATCCGCAGCCGTGCCCTTGGCCGGCGGACGACGGCGGGCGGCGAGTGCGCGCCCCGCCTGACGAGCGGCCGCCGCAGAAGGGGACGCCCCACCTAGGGGACGCAATAATGGCATCGGAGGTGAGGGTTGGCATCCGCTCGCTAGCTTAGCTAAGGTGAGCGCTGCAATGGCGATGGCATGAAACGCGAGCAAGCTAGAACAAACTAGCTCGGCCACCTTTAGGCTGTGTTGTTGTTTAATAAAGAAGAAGAAATTTTTTTTTGGAGCGGCGCCGAATGGTTAAAGCCACCGGTACTTTCCAATTTTGCCCTTGGCAAAAAAAAAGCTGTATACGGTGGCTAGATTACTGTAACATCGTGTCTTTGATTGGTCATCGTGGAGTTCTGGACAACTGCTAGTTGAGACGCGTCCATGGGAGAAGATGGAGTTGCAACCGATCGCCATCGACCCTCCGCTCGCCTGTGATTTGAGGTCTCAATCGCCTCTCGCACAGAGGTCTTGCAGATCGAGATCTTGCAGCAACCATCATGGTCAAGGACTCGTCCGGCTATCATGTAGCCGGTAAGCTTAATGTGGGGCATGGCTGGCGAGCTAACACGAGTCAAGGCTGGGGCCTACAATCTGCAGGAGAACAGAACTGGAGAAGAATGCTTCGGGCACGGGCTCACAATTGGCGAACAAACGGCCATCACCGTTGTGCTTAGTGATTACTAGATCACATTGAATGGATTTGGACTTCAGAACAATTGGATTGGAATGGACATTAGTCATTTTGTATTAGGATAGGTTTGGACTCGGATCTTAATTGGATTTATCATATGGATTTGAACGCTAATCAATTGCCACCTCTCGACTCATAAGCTACCCGCAAATTCACTAAATCTATTCGTGTCTTGTTTTTGTCCACATGGAGGGGCCAGGGGAGTGAACACGAGGAACCACTCGCTAGTCAATACTCACATAGGGGGAGCTTCAAAATGCCGATTAGATGTTCTTCTTTGGTCGCTCTCGCTGTTATTGCTAGGTCGTCCAAAAGCGCATCCAATTCGGTGGCCAACTCATCATAGAAAAGCAGTGGCAAGTAATACAGAAATGATCCAACTCGGGTGTCCGTCCGTGACCCCTGTCTAGACACGGCTCCTTTGGAGCGGCCCCAAACAAAAAACAAAATCTCACACTCTGTCGTACTTATTCGCCTGCACGTCCCCAACTCCTTCGTGCTTAACCGCCAAGCCCCAAAGCAGCGTGACCGCTCTTTGTCCACGCCCCTTCCACCACTGCGTGCACGTTCACTGCTGCGCCGTGCCACAACGCGCCACACCCCATCGCCAGCCGCGCCACGCGCTCGTCCGCTGCTTCGCCATGCCCCACCGCCCCGCACCCCAATGCTGGTCGCGCCGCGCGCCCATCCCAGACACCTATGCCGCTCGCTCCCTCGCCATCTGTCCGTCCGTTCGTCTCCCATTGCCGTCGTGCACGGCGCTGACCCGCCATGGCCGCTGGGCGCATGTGCCATGGCGCCTCAAGTCTTCTCCAGCCAAGCCAAGGGCACCCACGAGTGCAGGCGGTGCTAGTGGTGCTCACGCACGGTGACTCGCCGCTGACTCTGACCCCGACGGTCGGAGTTGACCAGCCCGAGATTCTCCTCGCCTATATTGCATATGTATGTTTCAAGTGTTTCAGGTGTTTCAAATTTATGTTGTAATTGTTTCATTTTGATGTTGCAAAATAGATCGAGGGATGTTGCATATGTTGCAAGTGTTTTCAAAGGCATGTTGCAAACGTTTGTTCAAAATATTTCATCTATTTTCGGACGTATGTTGCAATCGTTTTTATCTGAACGTTGCATATGTTGCAACAATATGTTTCCAAATATTTCAGTTACTTCAGTCTTTATGTAGCAGCAGGTGGTTTAATGTTGCAAGTTGCAAGTGTTTTATTTTGGATGTTTCATGTGTTTCACACACATGTTGCAAAAACATGTTTCCAAATATTTTATGTTGTTCGGATGGAGGCGAGCCAGGGACCGGCGAACGGGGCACGCGGTGAGCCGGGGGCCGGCATACGGGGGTGCTGCAGTCGGGGCACGCTGGGGCGTGCTCGTCCTTGGCAGCTCATCGCGGCTCCTGAGTGTCGTCCGTGCGATGAGAGAGGAGGGGGCCAGGGGGCAACCGACGGCGGGGGCAGTGATGGGGGCGGGGCAAATGCGGACGAGGTCAGGGTGAAAGTGGACCGGGGAGGGGCAGGCTACGGTGGGACTGTGACTTGGAGCTATTTGCTGGGGCTAGGAGTTGCGTCCGTACACGTGGCAGGCGTCGGACGTCAGGGCGCTAGTGCCTCCGCAAGTAATAAGAGCTAGCAGCTCTCGGTGTTTTTTTGGTTGTATATTCTTTTTCCTTGCAGGATGATGGCATGGGGTCACATTAGATTAGGTGCACATAAATTAATTCCACGGACAGAAATAAATAAACGGATATAGTGCTGGAGTAGCATGATGATGTCCAAAGTGAAGGTTGCTCTCACCATCATGGCGGCATTTTGCCAACTTTTTTTTTTTGAACGAAATAAATTGCGTTATGCGAATTTTTGCCATACGGTGAAACCCCAAGTGTGATACTGTGAGAAAAGACGACGCAAATAAAGTAAACTGCTGAATTGGCAGCCATATAAATACGCGGCGCCGGCGGGGGCAGTACGCTGTCCACTGCCCGACGGCAGCGCGCCGTCGATGCTTTCGCTAGGTCGGCCGGCGGTGGCATCAACGGTGCCATCGATGGTTCACATGAAAACTAGTGGCTTCGCGGTGCGTGTGCATGGGCGCGTACGCACGAGTCGTTAGTACACGCGCGCTCCAGGTCACGAGATGACGCCCGGCTCCGAGCCGTGACGTCGTGCAGCAGCAGCCGCGCCCGCAGGGTGCGAGTGTGTCCGCCGACCCGCCGGCCGGCTCGGCCGCACCGGCGAAAAAACCACTCCATGCGTCTCCGAGGTGCGACCGGAATCGCGTGCAGGGGAGGGAGGATTCGCGTGATCGTCATCGTTTACCAGCTCGCCCGAGCGCACCACCGATCACTAATGACAGAACAGCTGATACCTCTACAAAACTGTAAACTGTTGCATGTGCCACCGCCGACTTTTGTTTGCAATAACATGGCTGACTTCAGTGGTCACAAACTATATACGGTCGCCAGTTTGAGTTTTGGCGGTCTGCTTCTTAGCAAGTGCTCCCTCGATTTCAAATTATAAGTCATTCTAACTTTCTTGAGAGCCAAAGCATCTCAAGTTTAATCAAAATTATAGAATATTTATGACATTAAATAGGTATACTATAAAAATATAATTAATAAAAAATCTAATGATTCTTATTTGGTATCGTAAATGTTATTATTTTCTTATATAAATTTGGTCAAACTTAAGATGCTTTGACTCTCCAAAAAAGTTAGAATGACTTATAATTTGGCATGGATGGAGTATTAGATAGAGACCAACACAAAGGGTGATCCAGCCTAGTCGCAATGAACACAACACATAACATTGAGGATCACAAACCTTGGAGTCAATGCGCCATCGGTGCAGTAGGGATGCGAGCGTGAGATCGATGTAGTGGTACGGTGGTGTAGCGTCAACCCTCAAGACGACAGCGGCACTGACCAATCACCTTGGTCGTGCCTAGAGTCGGGGAAGAAGGGCGGCAGCCTTCGGGTCGATCCAATGCCCTCTTAGGATCGGGAATAACACTATAAGAATTCTAGTAGTACATGACAATCTACTTTCATCATAGACACTTGAAAACGCGTCACGGTTAACTTACCATGACGATCGGAAAAAAAGTCATGTATCCCGCGTCATACATTTGCTGAAACGAATTGAGCCATCACAGACTGGCATTTGTGTTCATGATTAATTAGTTGTCTGTTTCCTGTAACCAGCCCATATCCAAACTCAGATCCAAACCATAGTGACGAAAAAGAACATCATAAATTAGTGCTAAATCATCACTACATTAACATGCATCACAGCTCAAAAGATACACCAATCATATAAACAAACATTTATCATTCATGTATTAGCAAGCCCAATGTCACATTTTATCAAACTACGAATTGGTCTGGCTCACAGCCATTTAGTTTGACTATCATAACAACTAAGTTTGAACTTAAAGATTTCATCTCTAGGGAGTCTAGTATCCACGAGCACTTCAATTGGCTTGCTGGCCATAAGATATGCTACCTGAAAATCAAAATGAATATAAGATAAATCAGTTTTCAACAAAGATTCTAAATAGAAATGTCATCTATTTATTAGGAAAATTTGACACTAGGTAACTAATTCAATGCATACATTTTTGAGAGCCTAACAAGTAGAGCATGAGAATCTAAATATCAATTCACAACCAAGTTCATAACAACTAAGTAGCGGTAAGCATTTAGCGTCAAATGAAACTAAGTTCATATTCATCACAACAAGAGTGATTAGATGTTACTGTGAAGTGTGAAGCAATAATTTAGTATCATACTACTCTCAAATTCTCATTAAACTTCACATAGTGAAGCATAAGCAGTAATAATCAGCAAAGCTCACATGACATACTTGTTTAAGGGCAGCTGCAGTAGGTGTAACATAGTATAGCACACAAGTAAATGCCTCTGCAGAAGAGATCATCATGGTATAAGCAGGGTTAGCACAAGTAAATGCCTCTGCAAATGGAACCAAATGACTCAAAATCATAGGCTTACTTGAACCACTTTGATATACTAAGTTCTGAATGCCAATAGATTTAAGGTCACACATATGCAAGGTAAAAACAGCAAGTGGGTTTTAATTTAAGGTCAGTCATCTCTCATGATAATACTTAACTAGGCATACATTGCATATATTCACACATCTGTAAGGTGAATGCAAGTAGTATAGTTCTTACCTGATTTACTTCACGCAGTAAGGTGATAAAGATACAAGTTGCTTCGATTCTGGCCTACCAAAATTCGATGATGTTGTGGATTCAGCTAAGATATTCACAGTAGAGTAGGGACAAAAGGACCGCAATTGATACAAATATTCACAGCAGAGTGACCTACTTTAACCTCTACCAGAGATTGATAGAGATGCATTGGGAAGATTTCTCACTGGATCAAT